AGGGGAGATGAACCATGAGAGACTATGGACTCTGAGAAACAAACTGAGGGTTTTAGAGGGGAGGGGGGGTGAGGGGATAGGTTAGCCTGGTGATGGGTATTAAGGAGGGTACGTATTGCATGGAGCACTGGGTGTTATACGCAAACAATGAATCATGGAACACTACATCAAAAATTAATGATGTACTATATGGTGACTAACATAGTAAAACAAACAAACAAAAAAACCCCCAAACCTATGCATAGTGTTATAAACCTAGTTACTGAGCCCCCCAAAATATAAAAATGCTGGAGGTAAACAAAGGATAAGTAGGTAAACATGGTATTGTCTGTATCTGTTTGCTAGCTTCTGGATAGGGGCTGCTCAGTTTGGATGTGGCTTGAGAACTGTTTTGTTATTAGACACCTTGACCTGCAAGGCTTCAGAGACTTGTCAACAAATGTCCTAGCTTTTGGCAAGTCTGAGGTAAAAAGTCATTCTATCCTTGATGTCCACTAAAGGGACATATTTTTTTTAAAAAACCTATATAAACTATAGTTATCTTAAAAACTGTAGTAGATATATTTGTTTTCTGCTCAATCCTTTCCTTGATCATCCTCTTCTGAAAGGTGGCCATTTATTTTTTTTAAAGATTTTATTTATTTATTTGAGAGAGAGGGAGAGTGATAGGGAGAAGCAGACTCCCTGCTGAGCAGAGAGCCCCATGTGGGACTCGATCCCAGGACTCTGGGATCATGACCTGAGCCGAAGGCAGACACTTAACCAACTGAGCCACCCAGGCGCCTGAAAGGTGGCCATTTTAATTTCAGTGTACTCAAAGCTGTTGGGTCATGTATTCACACTGTGCTATTTATAATCTCAAGAAGTTCTATCAATACATAAAAAAAATATACCATGAGGTGACACTAGCACTAGCAGATCATATAGTGCTTAGCTGGGACAGCTATGTTAGACTATGTGGGAACAGAAGAACCAACTGATAACAGATGGAGAAGCAGAGCTAAAAAATGCTGACCCTGACCTCAGGTACTGACTCCCCAGTTCCAATTCTAGTCCCTGTACAGCCTGCTGTGTTACATTTTCTGTTCTTAAGACACCTCATTTTATTTACGTGTGTTTATATTTAGGTTAGGGATGTATGTGTGTGTATGCACCCATTTAATAAACCTCTTTTGGGTGTTTGTATGCATGTCATGTGAAAAGCCAAATGGCTTAAATTCACATCTCTGTGGGGCAAGCCTACTTCCACTATGTATGTTAGCCAAAGCTGCATGTCTGATATATCTCTAATAAATTCCACTACTTAACCTGGCTTGAGTAGGTATGTGTTCCTGACAAAGTACCTAAGAAAAAGAATTAAGCCAGGTTTCCTAACATCACAAAAGTAGATACCTTTGAATTTTTATTGGAATAAAATTTTTTTTACATTTACCTATGTCATAGCTCAATTATAAGGAGAAGAAATTTAAATCAACTATAGAATAAAATACAGAAGGCGAGTTTTTTGTTTTTTATCAGTTCTAAGATTTTCAGTCTGGTTTTGCCATTGACAAATTGTATGACCTTGAACAATTCAGCTGGGATTGAGAACCCTTGGCTTAAATTATTCCCCATTTAGTTTGCCAGTCTGGCCATGTAACTAATGGCTTGCTAGATGTTTAATTACTGAAAGCAAAATAAGTAATAAGCTCATAATCTACAGAGGAAATACAAAAGGAATTATTTAGATTTTATTTATTTAACAGAGAGTGAGACAGCAGCAGAGGGAGAGGGAGAAGCAGACTCCCCACTGAGCACAGAGCCTGAAACGAGACCTGATCCCAGGACCCTGGCATCATGACCTGAGCCAAAAGCAGATGCCACCCAGATGCCCCCAAAAGGAATTAAACACAATTTTGATCAAGAATGAAACATGGCCGGGCGCCTGGGTGGCTCAGTTGGTTAAGCAACTGCCTTCGGCTCAGGTCATGATCCTGGAGTCCTGGGATCGAGCCCCGCATCGAGCCCCGCATCGGGCTCCCTGCTCAGCAGGGAGTCTGCTTCTCCCTCTGACCCTCCCCCCCCTCATGTGCTCTCTCTCTCTCTCTCTCATTCTCTCTGTCTCAAATAAATAAAATCTTTAAAAAAAAATTAAAAAAAAAAAAAGAATGAAACATGGCCTTGGAATTCTTAACAGCAAAGGAAGAAAACCCTGAGTCTAATTAGAAATATCTCTTTATTTTAAAAGATCTCAGAAAGTTCAAAGTTAGGTATGATCTCATGGACAAAACCTCTGAGTGGGAATACAGCACAAGAAGAGTTGCAGGTTCTAAGGAAACGAGGTTCTGATTATGTAATCACAAATAATCCTAATGAGATGAGAAAGCAATTAGAGAAACTAATTTCTTTGGGAAGCTCAGATTTTTAAAAGAACATGTACAAAAGACCAATTATGAATACAAAATCTTGATGTGAACATATAAGAAAAGTCTCACAAAGGTTCAAGCCTACTAAGAACTGAGGTTCCCCAAAATTCTAATAAAACAGCAACAAAAACTTTAAAGCTACGTGGGACAAGTAGACAATTTGTTAGGGGAAAGAAAGCACAAGGCTGATAACAGAAAGAAGAGCTCAAAAACAATTGTGTCTTCATCTTTTCCATCCACAAGTACTGCCCTCAAGTTGGAAAGACCAGACAAAAATTAAAAGAAGAAATTAAAGTCTGTGATAATTTAAAAGGAGTCCTACAAAGCTAATTTAAACATATTTAAAATTCTAGGCCCAAACAAATCATATCTCAAGGTCTTGAAAAAATTTCAAATATGAATGAAAAATGAGAAAATGCTGCCCTGATTTTTTAAAAATAGGTAAAAAGGGAACATTCCAGAAAGCAAAGAATGATTAGTTTAATATTTATCTCTAAACATTCCTAGAAGAGAGAATCAAGGATGTGACTTTTAAGTACTCAGAATTTGAAAAGCCAACATGGACTGGGTAAGAAAAGTACAAATTAAACTAATTTTCCTTTTTGACAAGGTTTGATAATGTCTGGCAATGATATAGAATGCTATTGCAGTGAATCTTGATTTCCTCTAATAGCCTTGTCAGCAAGATAGAGAAATGTAGGTGGAATAGTGGTAGAGGTAAGTAAATTCAGTTGGTCCAACAGTTCTTTCTGAAGAGTAATGAAGGAGCAGTGGGCCAGAAAGGTTTTATCTTTGGTCCTGTCTTATCCAATATTGTTTTCATGACTATAATAAAGCCTAGAAACTCACTTAATAAATTTGTAGAAGAAAAGCTAGAAGGGAAAGACAATATAAAAGGTGATTCAAAATTCAAAAGGATTCTGATAAGCTAGGAAAATGAACTTAAAACCAAAAAGAGACACTTAGGAATAAACCAACTCCTGCATTTAGGTTTAAAATAAAATTTTTAATAAAATAAAATGAAATAAAAAAAAGATGGGAGACTGGTGGTAATTTATATGAAAAAGAATCTCATATTTTAGTGATTTAAAGTGATTGAACTTGTTTTTAAAAGGTAATGAAATTTTATGCTATATAGCAGAAGACCAGAATTTCTAGGTTTCTCTAAAAGTATTGTAAAATAAGTTTTATGAGTCTTTTAGACTCAAATTGTAATGACATCTCTAATATTCACAAATGCAAATCATATGTAAAATAGTGTCAATCTACAACTCTCATAAACCCTAAAACAATAAAGAATTCTACATTGACAATGTTTTTGTCAATTTAATATGAAAGAACAAAATAAGGCAATTGACTTAAAAACTTTCTCTATAAAGACAAGGATGTGACTTTTAAGTACTCAGAATTTGAAAAGCCAACATGGACTGGGTAAGAAAAGTACAAATTAAAATTTTTTTTTTTGAAATTCTGTTCCTTGGACTAGCACAAAATACTTTCAGAAACTTCCCTTAAACTAGTTCTTGAAAGTTTTAGTACTGGCATTACCTACTAAAAATAAAGACTGTGTGTGAGAGCGTCAGATTTCCTCTTATACAATTTTACTTTATGCTAAGGAATCTTTACTGAAATGCTAAAAGGAGAAAGAAAAGGTCAGAAAAATTTAGCCTATTCTCATAAGCTTTCTGATACTAATTTAGAGCTGCTAAAGTATTTGAAAAGCTGAACTGATACTGAAAGAAATACTGTTTACCCTTTTCCAATACTCTTTTAGAAGAAATAATCCAGGGACACCTGGCTGGCTCAGTCGGTAGAGCATGTGACTCTTAAGCTGAGGGTTGTGAGTTCAAGCTCCACATTGGGTGTAGAGATTACTTACAAATAAAATAAAAAAAATGAATAAATAAAAAGAAATAAAAGAAATAATCCAGGAAAAATATTTTTTTAGTTAAAAAATTGCCAACTTGGTAGATTTCAGTATATTAATAATTTACACAAAGAAGTATTTTTTTAAAAAATTATTTATTTATTTGAGAGAGAGAGCACGCAAGTGGAGGGAGGGGAAGAGGGAGAGGAGAGAAAGAATCTCAAGCAGACTCCCTGCTGAGCATAGAGCCCAACATGGGGCTCAATACCACAACCCATGAGATCATGATCTGAGGTGAAATCAAGAGTTGGACACTTAACTGACTGAGCCACCCAGGCACCCCTACACAAAGAAATCTTAAACTAAATTTTATTGAAAGACTTGATTACTAGGGATAAACAACTTTTTAAGGAACTCATGAACCTTTATCCTACATAAAATACTAAAATTTATAACTTTTAAAGCTTTTGATGGGAAAAAAATCTTTTTTATATATTCTATCTACTCATGTCAAATGATCAGAAAGAGTAAATCTCCTCTGGGAGCGAAAGTATTAACAACATAAATAAATTTAACTTATATACATACAGAAATGTACAGTCTTCTGGAAAGGGATCTCCATACGATGTAGAGGGCAATGAACCTGATTTGTTTTCCCGTTCATTCTGGATCACAGATGTATGATCTACATGAAGAAAATACAAACATGAGTAACAGGTACACACCAAGTTAAAAATCATTTACTGTAATATCTAAATAATATTTTTATTGATTAGATATATGGAGCCCTTAAATCTGCAAACATAGTAAGACTTCAAAATTAAGCCAAAAAATTACGTGTCAGTATTTCCAAAAACATTAAGAAAGTAAGCGAGGATAAAGTAAAAGATTTAGGATAGAAGAAATTTCTACTGGAGAAAATCTAGTTTGGCCTGAACTCTATCAGCATTTTAATCAACCTTTAAGGTGAACATTGGGTATCCTTATTTGTGCTTGTATTTTATAGAAAAATAACATAATGATTACAAAGGTCACAAAATGGAAAGTTTATGTATCTTTTGCTTTCTCATTGTTCAACTGCCACCTTCATTTTTGGAGGGTAGGGTATTTGGATACCTCTTTTTATATTTCCTTTTGACTTTTCATATTACTTAGTCTATCTTTCTGTGCTTAATTTCATCCCATGTCTTGTCTTTTCTTTTTCTACTTCATCTATTCTTACTCTCTAACATGACTACAATACAGAAATAAGCTGTGTATTTAATGAGAAAAGTTACGATTTCCTGTTATTCTGAAAAAGAGATATGTGGAATAGTCTATGTTTGGTTTAAAGATACACACACACACACACACATATTTTTTTCCTTTTTTTAATAGAGAGCATGAATGCAAGGTGGGGGAAAGGGGGAGAGGGAGAGAATCTTAAGCAGGCTCAACACCCAGTGTGGAGTCTGACATGGGGCTTGATCTCACGACCCTGAGATCATGACCTGAGCTGAAATCAAGAGTCAGATGCTTAACTGACTGAACCACTCAGGCACCCCTAAAGATATTTTTTTTTTTAAGATTTTATTTATTTGACAGAGAGAGACACAGTGAGAGAAGGAACACAAGCAGGGGGGAGCGGGAGAGGGAGAAGCAGGCTTCATACTTAGCAGGGAGCCCAATGCGGGGCTCGATCCCAGGACCCCAGGATCATGACCTGAGCCGAAGGCAGATGCTTAACAACTGAGCCACCCAGGCGCCCCTAAAGATATTTTTTTAATGTGTTTTTTCCTATGCACTGATGGACTTTAAGAAAAAAAGTGATTCTCATCCTGCCTTAGTATTAACTTGCATTGGTCCTCTAGTGCAGAAAAAAAGGTGTAGGAAAAAAATTTAATAAAATAATAGTTTAAGTTATAATACAAGGCTACTACCTGGCTAATTGGAAAATAATTATCCCTCTTTAATTATCAAGGTAAAGAAAGGTTTAAAAGCTGATAGTTGATAAGAGCTATAATTCCAGATTAAAAATTAAGTTTTACAAATAAGAATGTCTGATTTTTCCTACCTAATTTCTTTGTATGAGGCATATAAATCTATACTAACAAATATGAATAAAATAAGTGTATACAAGCATAATTAGAAATAAGACTTACTGAAAAAACAAAGATTTTAAAATTAATCATTAGATAGGGAGGAAAGGGGAAATAACTCCTCTTAAGAAAACAGTATTCAATCTTTTGTTTGAGGACACAGCACATATTTACAGTTGTACACAAGCAAGGAAAATGAAAGTAATTAGTGGTTTGGGCAGTCCAGGTTGGATCTGGGATAGCTTGTTTTGATTTCAACACCAAGTCCTTTTATATTTCTCCCAGTCTCAATATTCTTTTTAAAATCAATACTAACATGAAACTTTATTACTAGGAAGCTTTTAAACCTTTGCATTTGCCGACAATGTCAATTATAGAACTCCCCAATTACTTAGTTACAAATATTGCTCACCACTGGCAAACATATACTTTTATTTTGATAAATTACATTTCAAATGAACTATATAAAAATACGAAATTATAATATTCAATATTTCTGATGAAATTATTACCAAAAAAACTCAAAACCCAATTTACTTTCTATCACTGAGAAATAAATTGTTTAAGGAAAAAAAAACCATTTAGAATTAGTTCCTCTTACCACCTCCTGAATTTAAAAGCCTCTTTCTTGCAAAACTAGTATAATCTCTTGAGTGTGTTGATTCCAAATGCTATTGAAAGATACTGAGAAAGGCTATTTTCTTAAAGAATCTACTCTTCTAAAAACGATACCTTAGCTACTGAAATTGAGAATACTTTTGAGTAACAAAAGTTTCTTTAAAACAGACTGATGATGGTGGGCTGTATTTTCAGAGATTTAAAACCTTAAGGCTCCAAATATGACACTTAAAATTATTATAATTTAACAATATTTAGCAGTATTAATTAAAATCCAGTAAAGTACTTCCTCAACATTTTAGGAAACTGGAGATAGACTAAGATTTATAGGAGAGTGACTCTGATAAAACAACTTTTTAATTTTTTTCTTCTTAGTTCTGGTACATTATCTTTGATCAATTCCTTCTAAAATGAATTTGTTTACAGTTGCAAGATTGATGGTCTAATAATAATCTAGAAATAAAAAACTTTTACACCAACTTATCTATGCCCCAATATACTTTTCTAGTATTGTTTTTCTCACAAAGTGGGTTTGTAGTAGTTTGGAGTCTTAGAATTTCTTGAAGAAGAGATACATTTGTTCATTCTTTCCGTAGGAGAGTCAGAAGAATGTGCATTTCCTATCTCTGGATGGGTAGGACTTTTTATTTAATAAGGAAACTCATTTATGTAATTTACCAATATAGATCTTACATTTTATTTTACACTATCTTTAGGTAATCTGACATACTTAAGTCAATTAAGCCTGCTTCAAGTCAAGAAAATAACAGAATATTCAAGATTGGGATTAGAAATGCACATACCCTTTATCAGTGTTGAATTGTTACTTATGGTTGCTTCATTCACTAGAATCATTGCTTGGATGTATTCTGTTTAAGGAAAGGAAAAAAGCATGAAAACAATCATTAGCAGCATCACTTTCATTTATTGTGCCAGCCACTGTGCTAAACAATTTACATACTGTATCTTATTTAATCTTCATTAACTCCTCTGATAGGTTCTTATGATTACCATAATTGGAAATAGAAATTGAGGCTTAGAGGTTTGACTATTCCAAGAGCACCTAGGTGTTTAAGTTGGTTAGGCATCCGACTCTTGATTTCAGTTCAGGTCATAATCTCAGGGCTGTGAGTCAAGCCGTGTGTTGGGCTCTGCGTTGGGCATGGAGCCTGCTTAAGATTCTCTCCCTCTACCCCTCCCTGCCCCTCTCTTTCCCTCTCAAAACAAAACAACACACACACACACACAGACCTCAAAAAACACTATTTACTCTAGGTCATTCAGCAAGGAGGTGGTAGAACTAGATTCAAAACTAGATATATCTGACTCATGAAACGAATGAGAAGGAATATTAAAATGAAAAACAATACCATTTTTTGGACAAGCAAACAAAAGATTAATGTCATATGAACATCCAAAACGTATTAAGAATGGTCCAGGGGCGCCTGGGTGGCTCAGTAGTTAAGCATCTGCCTTTGGCTCAGGTCATGATCCCGGGGTCCTGGGATCGAGCCCCGCATCAGGCTCCCTGCTAGGCAGGAAGCCTGCTTCTCCCTCTCCCACTCCCCCTGCTTGTGTTCCCTCTCTCGCTGTGTCTCTCTCTGTCAAATAAATAAATTAAAAAAAAAAAAAAAAAAGAATGGTCCAAAAGAAAATTTGCTTGAAAATCTTACGTCCTGAAGGAAAGAAGGAGGTTTCTACAGAAAAATCAAATCTATGTTCTACAACCAACCAGGGTTGAAAACAAAGAAATAGAAAAAATGAAAACTTGGCTGGCTGACTGAACTGACTGCTTGATGTAGAATGCAAGTTCTGCTTTCAGAAGACTAGTAGGGCAAGTTCTGTTTAAAGCAGGCAAAATATAGTTTTATGTCCTTTCATATTTTAAAAGACATTAGGTGTCTCTGAGTGACGGGGTGATGGATAATTTTTGTTATATTTTTCTATACGCACTAAATGTACAATGAGCAGATATTACTTTTGAAATACCCATCACCTTTCAAAAAGGGTTACAAAGACAAAGAAAAGATAAAATGGGGGGCAAATAAAGTAGCCTGAGAGAAAAAGAGATAAATTCAGTAGCTGTTAGTCAAAGTAATCATCTTCACCCACTTTTACAAAGTGTCTATAGTATATGGTAAAAGCAAGTTTTTATAGAAGCAGAGCACAAACACAAAGGAAACAGAATGCATGGTAGGCTCTTAGAAAACAAAAGAAACTATTTGACTTTTAAAACGAAGAATACTGGTAATAGAACTATACTGTATTGCCAGTGGGTAATATTTAGCATTAAATGTCTTGAAAGTTTTTTGTGCTTCATACCTTTATTTGTGGCAGACCCATCTTTGATCTTTTGTTTCAGTGATTGCAGCACATTTTGCACTTGTTCAAATATGAAGTCCACTTTTCCATCATCTTCCAGCTCCATCCAGAAAGTTTTTGCATCACCTAAAATAAAAATAAGCGAAGAGCTTAAGAGCTCAACAGAAACATACTGTAAGCTCCCCAAGGCACATGTTACAGAGAACCCACTTGGTTTCTAAATAACATCAAGATTTAATTGGTCTATCATTTACCTTAAGAAAAAGATTTTGGTCATTGTTTCTTTATAAAGAACTAGAAACAAAGAATATGACCTAAGTATTTCGCTTATTTCTGCTAACATAAAAATACGTTGAAAATTTACTGATACTACTTCTGGTGTCCCTGTCAAACAGAAGGAATGGCTTCATTCTAGGGCAGTGGTAGATCTATGTATAGACACATAAGCATTTTAAAAGTTTCAGGGATATAACCTCCACTGAATATGGAAGTGGATGGTTTTAGAATGAAACATCTCAACAATTGCTAAAATAATTAAATGTCCAACAATATTGTTTAAAATGTCTTCTATATTTTTAAAATAATTATATGAAGCAAAATACTGTTTAAACTTTTTATAGGTAGCTATACAGATGAGCCAATATTTCAGATGTCTAGCAAGTAAACACCTTAAACAAAAATTCCAAAGATAGGTGCCCAGCTTGGTAGAGAATGCAACTCTTGATCTTGGGGTCATGAGTTCGAGCCACATGCTGGGGGTAGAGTTTACTTAAAAAAATTTCCTAGAGGAAATAATTCTTTCAAAGCTGAAAACAGAAATATGAAAAAGATAATAAACTGGCAAAAGCAAATCTCACACCATGTTTAAAAGTAACAAAAATACCTAAAATGTTAAATTTATTTACAATATGTTAAAATATTAAATGTTAAAATATATAAAATGTTCAAAAATAATAGGGCCTTAAACAAAAGAGGGACATAATAATTACTGTACTTTAGAAAGATCACTTGAGAAGCCATTAAGAGGATTAATAAGCAGAGAGCCTAGTAAGTTTACAAAAAATACATTTTCCTTAGTAAAAGTTAAACCCAGAACCTCTAAGTTTGGCAGTGGGGTGAAAATCTTCACAAAAGGCTTAGGCCTTATAGTCCCATATCTCCCTGGCAAAGTCACCTTACCCAAAGGGGATCTCTGGCTAATTAGGGATGCTGCCACCACAGTAGCCTCAAAAGGGGTGTTGCTTCCCTGTTAACACTCTGGCCCAATGCCTAGAACATAAGATCAAGCCTACTTTTAAACTCCCCCCCATAGCATAGCTCAGACGAGGTTTCAAGATTTGAAATAAATGCAATGTGACCGGACAACAGTGATGAGGAACAATGCTTTAGAGGTGGAGGGACCCATGACATGGACAGCCTTTCATGCCATGCTAAGCAACTCCATTTTTATATGAAAGAACATGGGAGCCATTCAAAAAGTTTAAGCATTCTTATGATGTGATTAGTTTCTTAGAAAGGTCACTCAGGTGGCAGTGGAAGAGGGAGGAATCAAGAATGATTTCTAATTTTCTGACCTGGGCAACCACATGCATAGTAATGGTATTCATTGAGATAAGAAATAAAGATAGGGAACAAGTGAGAAATTTAAGTAGGGCAAGTACACTGGGTACACAGGCTCCAGAGTAAGATCTGGTCCAATTACACGAATTTCGGAGTCAACGGCATACAAATGCTTGCTGAAGTCACAGAGTAGATGTGATCAGGGAGAATGTGTACAATGAGAAGAGGGTCTTCTGTATATAAAGGATGAGTGTAAGAAAAGAGAATCATGGAGACCGAGAAGGAGCAAACAGATGGAAGGAAAACCCAGGAGAACAGCGTATCAGGGGTCAATGGAAAACAGAAGTGGTGATTAACAATCTGGGCTTTAGAATTCAGATGCATTTGTATTCGAATCCCACACTGCCAGTTTAAGCTGTATGACCATACATATGAAATGGGAATAATAGCATCTACCTCATGGAATTGATGCACGGATAAGCATGTGGCCTTTAGCAAGAAATTACTATACATAAAGAGTAAAAAAAATATATATATATACACACACGCACACTATATATATGTGGTATATATACAGTAAATATATATTTTTAATGAAATTACTATATATATAATTTAACAGGGAATATAGTCTTAAGCAAAAGAAATCTCTAATTGTGGAATTTTAGATATTATTCAGCTAAGTGGGCAAGTATTTTTTGAAGGACCTTCCCAGAATCCTTAAAATCATTAAGTTTTTCACTGACAGATAACCGAAAAAAATCACTGCTTTTAGACAAAACTATTTGTGAAGGCACTTAATTTGTTGTTACCATGTTTCTTTTCACGGATATGAATCAATACTCCATACCAGGGATTTATCTTTATTTGAGGTGGATATCTAGATGGGAAGGATTTTGAAAGGTACTTAGAAATAGCTTCTGATAGCATTATAATCTGGGATCATATACAACTCTCATATGGCCTGAGAAAACAGGCAGTGATGCTGAAAAACCACAATCAGGGTTTAACTGAATTTTTGTTTCTCAGTGGTTACATTTTAAACTGTGTTTGAAATGTCAACACATGATACCAAATTATTCAGACAGGAAATACTTAAGACAACTTATTTGACAACTGAACAGGGTAAATTATTAGTTTTGGAATGGATTAATGAAGAGGACACTGGGAATATAATTTAAGAAAATAAAGCCGATCAGAAAATACTGAAACTATCTGCTTGTACAATAAATGAATGTATTTAAGCAATCATATTTATTAGTTCTGGGTTTTTAATATGGTATCATTATTTTATGGTATCATTATTTCATACTGCTAGGTTTAATTTTCATTTAAATGGTTCTTTTTCCTCATGTCTTCCATCATTTTTCACTGTCTTTTTGCTACAGAAATTTTGAACCACAGTAATATTAAGAAAACAAGTAACCAATCTATCTGAAAAATGAGATTAACAGATCCAGTTAATAACTGTTTTGAACAAAGAGGCTAAATGAATATCACAACGAAACAACTGAGTCATTTTCATTTCAACTGTAGACCATCTAGATGGTTATTACAATGTAAACAATTTCAGTTTCTTGCTCCTTTTCTTTGTACTCTATGTATGTTCAGGGTTATAATCTGAAACAGTAAATATTTCAGTATATTTCACTAGAAAACATCGATAAGTACAGGAGTAGGTCCTTGAATTGAAAAACCAAATCAGTATACTAATATTGCTACTTGCCTCTAGAAATGAAGAATACCATCTTATAACTCTGTTTGTCCCAACTTGCTCCCTTACTTAGCTCAATATGACTACTGCAAGAACATAATCACGAAGTGAGAAGTATAGCAGCTTTGTAAAAGAAGAAAGACAAAATTATATAGTTACACTGTATGTCTCCCAATCTCCCTTGATATACACTGTCTTTGTAAAGAGGCAATACTCAAGAATCACAGCTATAGGAGTTATTTATTGGCCAACTATTTTTGGAGTACTTACCAAATACACTGATAATATCACACACACACACACACACACACACACACACACACACACCCTTGAAGAGCTTCAGGGCATTGGTCTAGAGAATCTCTATGATCTCTTTGAGTCTGTGATCAGCAAAGTATGGTCTATGAACCCCTGCGGTCCTCAGATCCCTTCAGACAATACGCTAGGTCAAATCATTTTAATAGTAATACTAAGACACTATTTGCTCCTTTTTCTATAATGACATTGACTGTTGGTATAAAAGCATTGCTGAGTAAAAGTACTTATGTCTTAGCATGAATCAAGGGAGTGGCACCAAACTACCAGTTTTAAGTCTTCCAGTATACTACCAGTATATTCTTCATCATCAATTTCACTAAACAATGTCCATGATAAAGCAATAAAATGATTACTACAACATAACGGCTGTCTCAAGCAAAAGCACTAGTGAGATTGTTCAAGTTGTAGGCTAAACCAGCTTTTTTTTTTTCATGGAAAACTATTTTTACTTAAAAGAACCACTAATAAAAATTATAGTTTCTTAGACTTGGGTGTTTGGCACACATTTTCTTGAAAAAACAAAATGAGCCTACTACCCCTGGAAGTTCAATATCGACAGCATTTGTTTAATGATAAAATTCACATTACCAAGTTAAAATTGGAAATTTGTAAGCCTGGTATGTGCCACAGTAAGCCTGATAGCTTCTCAGTAATTAATCACTCTTTGATGAGATTGGTAGCAATATTAACAAATGTGATTTTTTAATACTGTATGATGAAATGTGTCAACATCTGGAAAATCTGCATAATTCATTGAGCCAATATTTTCCAAGTGGCCAATGCATGATATTATAAAATCATAAAAGATCCATTCAATGTGCAAGACAGACCAATGGATTTTAATGTAACAGAACATAAAAAAACTCACAGATATGATTCAGATTTCATGCTACAACTGACCTACAACTGAAGGAATAACTACTTGTTGAGTTTTGTAGTTGTATCAAAAAAAGTACACAATTGTCTAAAAGGCTATTAAAACCTTCTTTTTCCAACTTTTTGTCTATGTGAAGCTTCATTTTCTTTATACATTTCAACCAAAGCAACATTTCACACCAGATTGAATGCAGAAGCAGATACAAGACTCCCTCTTCTAGTAAACCAACTATGAGATTTGTAAAGATGTAAAACAATATTCTTCTTTTTTGTTTTAGAAAATAGTTATTGCTCACAAAAATGTAAATTATGTTAACATGTTTGGTTTATTATTTTTTGAAGCTTCTCAGTTTCAATTTCTAATACAGTAAATATGAAGAGATATTATCCATATAAACTGAAACTGTTAGGGATTTTAAATAGTTCTAAGAGTATAAAGTAGTCCTGAGACCAAAAGAAAGTTTGAGAACTACGGCCCTACATGAACAGTCCAGAGACCACTAGATCAACAGTATGATCCGTATAACAATCCATATATTACAAGTATGTTAAAGGGTAGTGAAATTTTAAAATATCATTTAAGAGGTCCAGGATCCCAGGAAAGAACACTGACCATGACAGGAACATCTAACTGTACTACAATTGTATACACAACCTCACTGAAGGGCTAGGTAGAAAGGTGCTAAGCTAAATAACTTTGGAAATAAGTAGAGTCTGCAAGACTAAAGGCAAAAGGAACTGTGTACAGAACTGTAGCTTCCTACCTGGGAATAAATTTACATTTCTGATACAGCTACACACACACACACACACACACACACACACACACACACACAGGAATTGAGTGACTAAATGGATAACAGATGGTGGGAGCCAAGTTTCTCACTGTTGGAGAGATGTGGTAATGGACTAGAGTTGGGAACATCAGAATAAACTCATGTTTAGCTTAATATAGATACAGACGGTTACATATAGAGATATTTGTAGGTATGCCTATATACAGCTTAGCATACACATATATCCCTTGCTCTGTTAGCTAAAAGGGCCTATAAGCAAGGATAACCCAGTAACAACTATCACCTGGATATTGGTTTCTGACACCATCCTCCATTAAAAGGGACCAGGGCTCAGTCAAGAAATGACTGACTCTAGGACTGGGGCAGGAAATATACAAGATAAGCCTGCAGCATCTTACAGTACCAGAAAATAAGTGCTAAAAAAAACAAAACAAAACAAAACAAAAACCCACCTATACTGATACAGGTATGTCAAAGGGACACAGACCCAACTGAAAGAGGGCTCCCAACAGCCAATCCTGGGACAATTTGAGTAACAAAATAAAACAGTACTGGACAGAGTACTGGATAGGGTAAAATAAGTACCCATGACTCCATACTGAAATAAATAAATGATTGAATATATACATAAATGGGAGAAAGGAGATAAATCTCCCTTGTAGAAGAATTCCAAATAATTAATGTAGATATTCCATTCTCAAAGAGGGGGAGCATAATCTCCACTCCTTGAATATGAGCTGCATATAGTGATTTTCTATCAAAGAGTACAATAGGGAAAAGGAGAAAAAAAATGTAATTGACAGTGTAGAAACCACATAACACTATGTCAGCCAGATGATCAAGTTCTATCAGTAAGAGAGAAATCACATTGATAACATGTACCTTTGATACAATGTGGTAAAAATGGCACTTTACCCCTATGGTCTTCTTCCCCAAAACCCATAACCCTGGTTTAATCATGAGAAAAAAAATCAATCAATAATTCCAATAGAGGGGCATTCTACAAAATACTTGGGATACAAAATACTACAAAATAAAACACAAGTTAAGTCTGAGAAACTGGACATCCAAGAGGACCCTATGGAGACATGACAAATAAATATAACGTGGGATCCTGGAACAGAAAAAGACATCAGGTAAGAACTACAGAAATATGAATAAATTATGGACTTTAGCTAATAATAACGATTCATTAACTGTAACAAATGTACCAGCCAAATATAAGATGTTAATCATAAGTAACACTGGAAGAAGATATGGGAACTTGCCGTACTATCCTCTCAATTTTTCTTTAAAAAGTAAATCTAAAAGTTTTCTAAAAAACAAAGTGTATTTTTTAAAAAGTACATTAAAGAAATGACTTAGTTTTACAGACACACAATTAATTATAGACTGTCAAAATTGTTGGCTACAAGAGAATAAATCCTAAATTCCTTCAAATGTAGAATAGTCACTTGTAGTGAAAAACTTTGAAAATTCCAAAATTTAGCTTCATTAAGTAGTCTATACACTTTCAAATATAATGTTTAACAATGGTTTCCAAACCTACCATTTTTTTCTCCCATCTTTTGGCGTCGTTCATAAACATAAAACTCTTCAAAATTAACTTTATCAAAGGACGGAATCACTTTGATTGAAGAATATAACTGGAATCCAACTGGAATTCAATGTGGTCTCTATGAAATTTGCAGTCCTCAGAGAAAATACATCATTATGCCATTCCAAACCCAATGTTCTTGGATGCTTGAATTTTCAAATAGTAACTTCAGTTGAAGAAACTTTCAAAAATAACTAGTCCAACCTGATGATGAGTCCATGCAACTTCATCAAGTGAATATTTATAGTTAGATCATTGATAATATCTTTTTAAAAATAAAAACCAACTCCATCTTTTGGTCCACGGATGCATGAGACATTCTGTAAAAAAAAAAAAAAAACAATAAAGATTGGTACATACTTACAAAGAATAAAACATATAAGAAAAAGAAGACTGTTCTAATAGCTCTTTTAAAATAGCATAGACTGTTACAGAAACAAGAATACATATTAAATGGAAAAATATGTAAAATATCAAAATTAGGAAATTACAGAGAAGAATCACCCATACTAAAAATATTGTCTTTTTTTTTAAAGATTTTACTTATTTATTTGACAGAGAGAGACAGAGCAAGAGAGGGAACACAAGCAGGGGGAGTGGGAGAGGGAGAAGCAGGGCTCCCATGGAGCAGAGAGCCGGATGCGGGGCTCTATCCCAGGACCCCAGGGATCATGACCTGAGCCGAAGGCAGATGCCCAACGACTAAGCCACCGAGGTGCCCCTAAAATATTGTTAATTCACATAAAATAGCCCCATTTTATAAATATTTTTTGTTTTTTTATAAATACTTTATAAAAACTTTTATAATGGGGATAGTAACGCTAACTACCTCAAATGAATGAAGAAGAGGCAATAATGACCAAGAATTTCTCAAAACTGTAAAACATATAAGCCAACTAAGGGTTCATTGGGTACCAAGCAAGATAAAATACACACTACCAGACAAACTGTGAATAAACCTTAGAATATCAAAAATAAAGACGAAGTCTTAGCAGTTTCCAGAAAATCTAGATTATCTAAAAGAAACACATATCAGACCAGCAATCAGACTTCTCATCAGAAATGCCAGATGCAATAAGTTAAGGCAAAGTAAGTTTGACCCCAGAATGCCTTTCAGCCAAGCTGTCTTTCAATAGTGAAGGTTAAAAAAAGAGACTTTCATAGACATTCAAAAAGCCACTTAGGGACTCTCTGAAAGAAATAAAGTACCCAAACTTCATGAAAAAAACTAACATACACAGAAGTACTGAGGTAAGAAGCAATAATGAGCAAATGACTAAAACACATTAATGTTAAAGATAGATTAAAAATGGGTTTTAATAACAAATGAAAGAAAATGATAGAAAGAACCACGGGGGCGGGGCGCCTGGGTGGCTCAGATGGTTGGGAGTCTGCCTTCAGCTCGGGTCATGATCCCAGGGTCCTGGGATCGAGCCCCACATCAGGCTCCTGGCTCAGCGGGGAGCCTGCTTCTCCCTCTCCCTCTGCCTCTCCCCCTGCTCATGCTCTCTTTCTCTGTATCTCTGTGTCTCAAATGAATAAATAAAATCTTAAAAAAAAAAAAAAAAGAACCAGGGGAAATTATGTTCTTTTATAGAAGGCGGATGGAAGGGGATTATTGCCAAGATAAGAGAAAGTAAAGCAGAAGTACTGTCAAGTCCTTCTTCATAGGGAGGATATCAATACTAATTAAATTTAGATCTTGTTAGGAAACATATATTTAAGAACTATGTTGAAAATGCAAAGGTAGTATATTTTAAAAGACATGCAGAACAAAGAAAACTTGGGGCCAACCTCAATTAAAAAGAGAAATGGAAAAATAGGATATAAAAGATACAAAGAAAAGCATGGTAAACAAGATGACAAGAAAAAGGCCAAACTGTTAATAATCACAAAAAAGGTGAATGTGTTAATCTAACTTATTAAAGGGCTCTCAAAATGGATTGCAAGCAAAACCTAGCTATATTTTAAAATAAGAGACCCACTTAAATCACACAAAATGTCATCAAAAGGTTGAAATAACAGGATGTGAAAAAAGACATACCAGCAAATACAAGAAATGTTCATATCAAACAAAATAGAATTTAATATGAAAACCATCAGAAGAGACAAAGAAATATTTTACAATGACAGAATAATTCACACAAGTATCTAATTGAACTTGCTGACAATATCAAATAGGCTCAAGAAGTAGAAAATTCCAATTAGAGGCAAAGTATAAAAATAAAAAGTTTAAACAACAGTTAAAGATCTTTGGAGAGCTACATGTCCCATATCCCCACCTCACTCCTATTATACCAGGTCTATTCAGTTTTATAGATGAATTCTACAGAACTTTCAAGGAACGGATAAATTCTATCATATATGAACTGTTCCAGGTCAGGAAAAATATGGGAGCCACTCAATTTTTTTTTAGATTAGTATAACCATGACATGTAAGAAAAGAAACTCAAGGCCAAAAGCACTTCTGTGCAAAAACAGTAAGTAAAATATGCCGTAGAGTAAAAGTATATTACTAAAATAAGATTTATCCTGGGAATACCCCAAAAATTTAATATTGGAAAGTTTATCAATGTAAATTCCTACATTAACATATAAATGGAAAACCAACATTTCAGATGCAGGAAAAAAAACCAATTCAATAAAAGTCAGCAACTATTCTGGAGGCTGGAAGATGAGGGACCCTTAACAAACTAGGAAGAAAAGAGAACTTCTTTAACCTGATAAACTCTCCACTAAAACTTAGCAGCAAACATCATATACAATGATGACACATTAGAAGCATTTTCATTAAAGTCAGGCACAGAGATTAGGACACTTGCCACCACTGCTCTTATTCGGTATTATAGTGGAAGTCTTTGAGAAACGCAGTGAAATAAAAAAACACCTAAAGACTTAAAAAAAAAAAAGCAAGATCTGTAGAATAAACAAACAAAAACATAATAAAGTTAAAAGCCAAGCAAAGAGCTGAGAGAAAATAGAGTTTGTGAACTTTGGTTGGGGAGGGGGTGGGGCAGGCTCAAAACTCAGTGCAGAGTCAGAAGCGGGGCTTGAGATCATGACCTGAGCTGAAATCAAGAGTCAGATGCTTAACTGACTGAGCCACCCAGGCACCCTGACGCTGAAAAATTTTTTATAAAAATTATATACACAGTATCCAGGGCACATAAAACTCTAAACCATTAAAAAAAAGATGACCCAATAGAAAAATGGGTAATTTTTTGAAGAAATTATAGAAATTTACATAAATTATAGGTTAATAAACATATGAATAGATACTGCAACCTTACTAGTAATCAGAGAATGAAAATTTTTTTAAAAAATGAGTATTGAGAGCCTGGGTGGCTCAGTTGGTTAAGCGACTGCCTTCGGCTCAGGTCATGATCCTGGAGTCCCGGGATCGAGTCCCACATCGGGCTTCCTGCTCAGCAGGGAGTCTGCTTCTCCCTCTGACCCTCTTCCCTCTCGTGCTTTCTATCTCTCATTCTCTCTCTCTCTCAAATAAATAAATAAAATCTTTAAAAACAAAAATAAAAAAATAAAAAATGAGTATTAATTTCATCCATCAGATGGACAAAAAGAAGACAGTATTTCGTGTTAGTCTAGACTGTAGGAAAATTGAACTATTTTTGGGATGTTTAAATTAGTAGAAGTATTTTGGAGGCAAATTTGGCAAGACCAATTAAAATTAAGAATGTTCATAACTTTGGGGCGCCTGGGTGGCTCAGTCAGTTAAGCAACTGATTTTCCTTTTTTTTTAAGATTTTATTTATTTATTTATTTGAGAGAGAGAGAGAGCACATGAGAGGGGGGAGGGTCAGAGGGCAAAGCAGACTCCCTGCTGAGCAGGGAGCCCGATGCGGGACTCGATCCAGGGACTCCAGGATCATGACCTGAGCCGAAGGCAGTCGCTTAAACAACTGAGCCACCCAGGTGCCCAGTTAAGCAACTGACTCGATTTCAGCTCCAGTCATGATCTTAGGGTTGTGAGTTCAAGTCCCTTGTCAGGCTCCCCACTCAGCAGGGAGTCCGCTTGAGTTTCTCTCTCTCCCTCTGCCTCTCCCGCTAGTGCTATCTCTCTAAGTAAATAAATAAATCTTAAAAAAAAAATAATGTTCATAACTTAAAACCAAGCAATCCCACTTTTAGATAGATATATATAGATATATATCTATATATCCTTGAGAAATAGCACATGTGCACAAGAAAATACATACCAGGATTTCCCTGTAGCATTGTCTATAAGTTGAAAAACTGGGAACAACCAATGTCCATCAAAAAGAGAATGGCAAATAAAATGTGCTATACAGTACCTATCAAACAAGATAGAATTTAATATAAAAACCAATAAAAGAGACAAAAATATTTTACATTAACAGAACTCAGCCATACACTGGAACACTATCCAGCAGGTATAAAAAATGAGCCATAAAGACATAATAAGCTATAAATAACAGGTATACACTTCAAAAACACTGTCAAATGAATAAAGTTAGAAAATGATATAGTATGATACTATCAACATTTTTTTAAAATTACAAATGCATATATGAACCCATTGAGAATATTTAAGTATAAAAAAAGACTTAAAGGTTCTGCACCAAAGTCTTTAGCGTGGGGTTGGGGAGCAAGGGGGAATTCAGGGACTATGGATTGTGCTATCCGTAAGGTTCTAATTTTGTAAAAAGACAATGTAATAGTGTTCTTAATTTAAAAATTAAGTATATAATTTCAAAAAAGGACTGTCCATTTTAAAGGCTTTTGGAGCAGACTGCCAAACTCCTTTCTAGAAAGGTTCTATCAATTCCTATTCCCACCTACAGCACACAAGCATACCAATAGCTTTTTGAAAAAAACTCACCAATGTTGTTCATATCTTCTGAAATTTTAAAAATAACAGTAAAACATGTTTACTTAAGAAAATTTGCAAAATACAATAAAGCATAAAGAAGAAAAGTTAAATCACTCATAATATCATCCAGAGACAACCAGTCTAATATTTTGGAGTGAAACAGGGATTTTTAAATTTATTTTTCCCCTTCTCACTTTTTCATTTTGGAGAAAAGCAGTCGGTCTGTTTCGCCTCAATTTATGGTTGCTTTGTTTTTAAAAACAGGCTCTTTATGAAACTGACCATTTCTTACGTTTTAATTACGAGAGTAATGAACATTTGAGTATAAACCATGTGTCAGGCACACTTCTCAATACTTCACTTATTCTTACTGATCTGCATAACAATGAGAGAAAATTAGCATGCCTGTTTTTCTAATGAGGAAGCTAAGGCGCGTCACACTGTAAGTGGCAGTGACAAAAAATAAGGA